ATGATGAACCCACAAATGATGAACCCACAAATGATGAACCAACACATGATGAACCCACAAATGATGAACCCCCAGTTGTGCTCTCTCAAAACGAGTCGTCCTTTCTGCAAAGGAAAAAAAATGTGATAAAGGCAATCAATAAGGATGGTGCCTATCACTACGGAACCGTGGAGTGCCTGCACTTCTTACATAAAAAGGTCATCAATTTTTTCCATGACAGTAACATGACAAATGCGTTCGATCAGATAGCCATTCCCTCGGAGTACACATATATAAATAAAAAGAAGAAATTGAGAAATGGAAGATTCCAGTATAGTACAAAAACGATAAATTTTAACATCATTTCCAATGTGATGAATTTGCAACGATATGAAAAGGAAATGTACACCTTGGTCGATTTTATGAATTTAATTATACAATGGTTGGTGGAGCAAAGACCGTTCCATATTAAAAACAAGTGCAACTTTTTATCTTGTTGTAGCCACAGCTTACAATTCGGGATGGTCTTAAGCATAACCACAGAAAGGGGAGTCAGACATGTTCTATACAAAAATGATCAAGGTCTGATGAAATTTCTCTTTTATAATATATTGAAAGATCACCAGTCAAGGCGGCACGCCTCCGACCTTATAGCATCCGCAATTAAGTTATACAATTTGAAGGTGACCTTTTTTTTAAGGGATGAAATTGGAGTTATATTTCCAGACCTCCAAAGTTTGGTGAACCCTCCGGAAAAGGTACTTTCAAGACACATCTGCTATTTATGAATATGTTTTCCTCTTTTTTGTGAAACTTTTGATTGGACATTTTCTTCATTCCTTTTTGTTATGTGTGCTAGTGGGATGACCCAATTTGGATATGTTACAGTACGCACCCCCGGCGTCATTGTACATATGTATATGTGCCTGTGTCTTTCCCCATTGCAGATCGAGTCCCTCCCCCCGTTCACGGACTGCTTAAAACAGCTAAAGGGGAAAAATGTGACCCTGTATGGCGACGAGGCAAGCCAAGGAATTTACGTCTCCTTCATAGTAAAATTTGTAAATAAAAACATTATGTACAGAATATCGAAGGATACGTTTAACAAAATAATATACTACTTTAATGACGATGAAGTGAGCAAGAATAAGGGGCGGAATTTAAACAACCATGTTTTGTCATCTGTCCCCGAAATTGAGGACAAGTTTCGGCATGTGTTTTTAAGCGAGCTAAGCTACTATGTCAACATCTCCACTGAGTTAAAGAAAAGGAACAAATCATTTCCGGTTACCATGAATCCAAAATTTTACGAAATATTAAGTCAGAAATGTAACCTGCATGAACGGAACTGCTCCTACGCTGTTGAGGAAATGATTAGCAACGTCAATGGAACGTTTAGAGAACCCGTTTTTGTTGTTAAAAATGTAATCACGCTCATTGGCAGAAAAATACGATGCGCAGATGAGGGTGCATTTGTGCTCCAACGGACCCATGTGAGGGCGCGCACATACCACACCTGCGTGAAAATACATATTTCTCATTTTTTTTCATTTTTCTGTCCCCCCTTTTTTTCCCCATTAGGTGATGAACTTTTTCCTGAGAAGAAGAATCCGTGCTGTTTTAAGCAGAATAAAGAACACCATAGTTAGTTAGGTATCATCAAAAATTATCGCATGGATGATTACACCCGTTTGTACATTCACACTTGCTCCCTTGGGCGCATACGCCCATGTCGTCTAAGAGGGTCGTCTCCCCGATATACCCACTTCTTTAATGTGCATAAAAGGTCCACTTGGCATGTAATTAATTTTCTACGTGCTTGTTTCGTATGTTGCAACTTTCTGTATTGAGTTAATATGTCACCCTTTTGTTGTCATTATCCATGCGACCTTTCCTGCGTTCCATTTGTCGATTAACAAAGGAACTCTCCTTTTTTATAATTGGCCCCCACTCAACATACTTGTATGAGAATTTTACTGTCAGGATAATTCTGAGTCACGTCCACTTCTGCATTTGAGGCCAGTACGAGAAAGTTGTAAAATATGATGGAGATGTTCTTGTCGGACATTCTGTTCACAGGAAATATGCGATCGAATTCTAAGACATTGGAACAGTTTGCACTTATTTTGTGCAAATAATTTTTCAGCTTGATTAATTCTTCGTTATATTTATACTCCGAAGAGGTGAAGGATCTCCTACTCACTAGTTTGCTGGATGGGACACTGAGGGAATCTTTGAAAGTGTCACTGAAGGTGTAGACATCTTTGCAGTCTTTCCCACTTTTGTTCTTATGTCCTCCGTTTGGTTGCGATTTTCTGTGTTCATAATTTTTCCGGGAGAAGCCACTCATCCTGTCAAAGTTGTGATCCACTTGGTCGAGGTTGTGATCCACTTGGTCGAGGTTGTGATCCACTTGGTCGAAGTTGTAATCCACTTGGTCGAAGTTGTAATCCACTTGGTCGAAGTTGTAATCCACTTGGTCGAAGTTGTAATCCATTTGGTCGTAGCTGTTACCGAAAGAGCCATTGGAGTATCTTTTCCCGCCATGGTTATGCTGCAACTCAGTTTTTAAAAAATATTCTTCATTAAAGTTTGCTCGTAACTGCTCAAAGTTTAGGTGGTTCTGTTTATTTTTCCTCTCATTTATGGAGGACACTGTCGATTTCGTTTGAAGCAACTTAAAGTTGTTTGGTTGCATGTTGATTTTCTCATTTTGTATGAGGTCATTACCGAATAGGTTGTAAACATCCTTCCTTGTGTCAAAGTTGATGAAATTTTTTGCTTGTTCATACGAATGGAAAGAGGAAGATATTGAATTATCACTTGGACCATTTTTCACATCATTGTATAGAAGAAAAAAAACGTAACTCCCCCCTTTGAAATGGGTACTAAATTGATTATCTGAGTTTTGCCTCTTATTCATCTTGGTTTCTTCCCAGATGTTATCCCTCAGAATGGTATCCTTATCGATTTGTGCAAAGATTCGTTTGTTCTTCTTTTCGTCCTCCCGCGGGTGGTCTCCCCCTCCCTTGGTATTGTCCTTACGAAGGATGTTACCGCCCCCACGGTGGGTGCTACCCAAATTATTGGATACCTTCCCATGCGGAATATTCCCACTGAACAGGAGACTGCTGTTCATGACATTGAAGGAGAAGTTCTTTTTGTTCAGAGTTTTATTCACGAGTAAACTATCATTGGAGTAGTTATTTCTTTCTGCATTTGTGTGCCTTTTAATGTTTAACGTATTATATTTTAAGAATGCTGTGTTGTTTAAGTTACTCTGTAGGTTTGCATCTCTACTACTGTCCTTTGTGTTCATATTACCCACCCCATTGTTAATTGTGTACAAGTTGTTAAATTTGGAGCAAGCGAAGGAAGAGGTGTTAGTTAGCATATCTTGATATATCACATTTTCATCATGTAGGATGCCTTCATTTTCAAAGTGGTAGTCATTCTCATACAGTTCGTTGCTTTCTTTCAGCATTAAATCGTTTATGTCTGCTATGTTTTTGTTTTTGTTTAGGTAGTTGGCCTTTTTCCTTCGAAAAGTGCCGTCATTGTGGTCTCCGATGTAGTTGTCTCCATAAGTTGGTTCCTCGTCCTGCAAAGATAGCACATTTTTCTTTGCCCTGTGCCTTCTTCTGTTCGCCCTGCACTTTTTTATCATACCAGTTTGGAGCCTACATTGATTGATGCTACTGAATAAGCACTTCTTATACATGGCGTAGAAATCAGTTAGTAACACCTCCAGCTGCCTGTGGAGAAAGATGGTTATCCCTTTAATTAATATTGCCGATTGTTTAAAATTATAATTTCCATTTTTTATTAACAACAAATTTTCGCTTAAGTTGGTGTATCTCACTATTCTATCACTGATACAGTTTTTTTTAAGAATCACTCTGCCCCGATAGAAGTTGCTACTGATGCCTATGAAGTAGATGCATCCCACCTTGCTGGACTTGTCATATATCAGCATGTTTTTCTCTCCCTTTGGATTGGACGCATTCATTTTTATTTAGTTTGGATGTGAGTTTTACGGGGGGTAAAAGGAAACATGCCACACACATCGGGGGTGTCTTAATGGAGTCCTATAGGGGAAAGCCTTTCCCGCAGGAGAAAAAGAATTCTGGTGTGAAAACAAACGTGGGCGAATCGTAAAGCGTCAATGTGGCTATGACGGCAAAAGTGGAATGCAAAGATTCTACAGTGCTAGCAGACACGATTAGAATTTTTCAAAATGGTCACTTCTATGTGTGGGGGCTCTACAATGGCTCAGTTTGTCATGAATGCACAGGTGCTGCTTTACACCCATTTGGGCACTTTAACTTTTTACAAACGAGCGAGGAAAAGATCGGACGGGGGACTAAACCGAAGGCACACGGTGCTTTGACCTAGTTGTAGCACATATTGTCAGAGAACAAGTTCTCACCAATAGAGCGGTGAGACAGCGCAACAAATTATGTCCACTATGTTCGTTTGATAACGCAGCGAACGTAACAAAAAGAAAAATGCGGCTAGCGCAAATTCACTGATCTTGGAATTATGTCACAGTTGCTTATTTTGCAATATCTGGTCGGTTTTTTAGAAGAGTGTTTGCCCTTTGCCTTTATATACATGTGTGCGCATGTGTAACTGTGTGTATTCTTTTTTTTTCTCAATTTTACCGTTTGTCACTATGGTGGGTACATCACCGACTTAAATAACGAAGACAGGCTATTTTGCTGATATGAAGAAGGGGCACATAAAAAAGAAACAGCTATATTAACGCACCGACAATGGTGAAGAACGGCTTCTACTTTTTCCCCTCCATGGTCATTAATTTAAAAAATTGCCTACCCAGAATTTAATGTAATTACATATCAAGGATATTTTTTTCACATTTTGGTGTTGATTTTTTATAGACAATTTTTACACAGTTGTATTTCTTTTTTGTATTTTTATTTTTTTTTTTGCGCTGCTATAATTTGTCCCTTCTAGAGACAACATAAAGATATATTTTTCCTTGCTTTCTTTTATATGCAACAAAAAAGAAAAAAGTTGTGAAGAATGGTGTAGCTTTGAGGAGGCGTTCCTTAACCATTTTGAAAAATTTTTGAATGTACAAAAAGGGTCACATTTTTGCAGGAAGATTTTCCGATTAGCCAACCTTTAATTTAGTAGCCTCTCCATCTTGTTCGGAAGCATATTCCCATATTTCCGTTGCGCAATATGTATAGATACATGGATGCGGAGGTTTCACGTAAAGGTTAATTTGTTCGCCCTCTTTAGATTAACGATTTTTTTTTTTTTCGCTTTTCTCCAACTGATGATTTCTAATAAGGCGAAGAGTTGCATATGAGAAGGGATTACTTTTGTGAATAAAACGGAACGGATAGGAATAAATTTGTTCTTACTTAAAAAGTCAATTCTTAGGTTTTTCTTCCTCTGTATATTAAAAAAAAAAGAGGTATGCTCTTTCTCTTCCACACGTGCAAAAATTCCGTTTCTTCGAAGCAGTGTAAAAATGCATTTTTTGAAAATTCCTTCTGAAAGGGGTCCATAACGGTTCGCTTATTTTTAACCTCAGTTATAACATCTTTTTCCCACTTCATCATTTCCAGTAAGATGAATGATTAATTTTTTTTCTTTCCCAGCGCGTGTTTGCGAACAATTTGGCTATTGTTCCTACATTGTTTCCTCTTTTCAAGGTCGAAAATGACAACACGATGCTCATTTTTACATTTTAAAAAGTTTTAAAAAATAAAAAAAGCAAACATGAGTGATGATAACACAACTGAGGTGTTGTATGTAGGGGGAATTGATGAGACAATAGACGAAAAGAGTTTGTATGACATTTTTTCTTCCTTTGGTGATGTAAGAAATATCGAGGTGCCTATAAATTTGGTTACAAGTATGCGGGCGAAACTGAAAGGGGGCGACATAGACATTTTATTCTTATCCCTCTTAACCATTATGGAAGTTTAATGTGCCCAAATGCTTCACCCTTTTTCCTTTTTGACATTTTCACACGTGCGAAGAAAAGCAGCTCAACCGCTACCATTGTTTCGATATTTTTCCCTTTAGAAAAGAATCGAGGATTCGCATTCGTGGAGTATTTGGAAAAGGATGATGCGAAGCATGCCTTATACAACATGAATAATTTTGAATTAAATGGAAAGAGAATTTATGTCAACTATTCCAAAAATAGGAAAATGGAACAATATAAGCCAGGTACTCTTGCATCCTCCCGTTGTTACACTGCTTCGCAGCACATGTTGGTATGTAATGCGAATGGCCATTTTTACGTAATTCCCATTTTTTCCTTTTTTCTTCTTTTTTTTTTTGGCAGTTTGGATCGATGATTTGTATAACCAGGAAAAGATGAAACAAATGGAGAAGGGAAATGCAAACGTAAGAATGTAGATACACCGCTTTGTTTTGATTTTATGTCGCCTCTGAAATTTGGCAAGTAGAGGTTTCTATGTCAGACATGCTTAGTACCTTTCCTTTTTTTTTGTGCCATTTCATAAGTATGTCCAGTTTTAATTCCACAGGCTTGTGTGTGCCCACGTATGTATATATGATTCGCTCACATGCATCCCATGCCGTCTTATGCAAATCTCCTTGCAGCATGTGGAAAACGTAGAAAAGGATCCCCCAGATGAATAACAAACAGTGCTTATGCTGGATGGCCTCTATGCATTATGATACCTGATATCCTGTGGAACAAGACTTTTCTTTTTTCATAGTCATACCATTTTACGTCATTCATATTCTATGTTGCCTTTTTTCTTATTTTTTTAACATCGTGGTAAATTTGATGCCTCTCAACGGGCACACAACATTGTCTGTCGCCTGAGTAAAACATTTCTGAAAAGAGATGTTAACTCAACAGAATAGGGCTTTATTAAAAAATCCCTCCTTTAAATAAAATCTTTTGAGTAAATAATCCATTCGTTTTTTTTTTTTTTTTTTTTTTTTTTTGCAAAAATTATAATTTGCACACCTCCCGTGTGACCCTTTTTCAAGGTGAACTCGTCATTTGGGGGAAATATTCCCTCCTCATAAATATAAGCACATCTATTACGTACGAATAGGCATGTTCAAAAATACGTTTCGAGATACCAAATAGCTTGGACAACAGAGATCCGGGGTTGTAATTAAGTTAATAAAATTGCACTACATAATGAGTATACTACATTTGCACACAAATATGCTAACTTGAAAAAAAAAAAAAAAAAAATAGGAGGGGGTTGTGCGGAATACTAAATGTATTCAAAGGTAGACACATGTGAAGCACTTTAACCCTACATTTGATATATTAGCATATACCCATATGACACGCACAGGGGAGACTCCGCTTAGCCGATCAATCAATCAGCATAAGGTGCGGGTTTTCTATATAATCCTTTATTGCGCTTAAAAATTGTACGGCATCTCTTCCATCCAATAATCTGTGGTCATAAGTTAGGGCCAAATACATGATAGGCCTAATGACAATTTCATTGTTTACTACTACGGCTCTATCTTTTATTGTGTGCATACCTAGTATAGCCGACTGCGGCATGTTCACAATAGGCGTGCTTAACATGCTACCAAAAACGCCTCCATTCGAAATGGTAAAAGTGCCACCCATGAAATCGTCTAACGACAATTTGTTGTTTCTCGCTTTGGTAGCTAACTCGGATAGAGCCTGTTCAAGTTCTGATAATTTTTTATTTTGACAATCTCGAATAATTGGAACTGTTAATCCGTTCGGTGTGGCCACTGCTACGGATATGTCAATATAATTTCTGTACACAATTTCATCGTTATCGATGTATGCATTTACTTGTGGCATTTTTTTTAGAGCTAAGGTTGACGCATGCATGAAGAGGGACACGAATCCTAATTTGAATCCATACTTCTTTTGAAAGATGTCTTTTAATTCACTGCGTAGGACTATCACTTTGCTCATATCACATTCGTTAAATGTGGTTAGTAGGGCGCATGTGTTTTGCGATTCTTTGAGCCTTTCTGCAATTCGTTTTCTTATTGGCAACATGCGCACTCTCGTTTCGGTTCTTTCACTAACGGGTTCGTATAGCATTCCTGCGTTATTTTCTTCACTTATTCTTCTTTCGCTTTCTTTGTGCGCGCTATTTTGGTCCTCTTTATCCTTCTCTTTTTCGCTTCCAGTTTCTTCACTCGCTGTCACATTTTTGCTTTGTGCTATTTCTTTCTTCACTTCTGATATATGAGCAGGTGGCTCCACTGAAGTGTCTATTTCGCATAGGGGTGCATCAACCAAAACGACGTCTCCCGCTTCTGCAAATATTTTTGAAAGCGCCCCACTGAATTTGGAGTTTATGTCGACGCTTACTTTGTCGGTGTCAATAATCGTTATCGTTTCGTCCACCTTAACATAATCACCCACTTTTTTCTTCCATTCACCTATGGTACCTTCCGTAATGGAATCTCCAAGCCTGGGTACTTTTATCGTGTCTGCGTTTAATGGGTGGGAACGCGCAATTAGGTACATATGCACGGGTAGGAAAGCACACTGAGGGGTTACAAACATATATAAACGTGTGCGCATAGGAAAGTGTGCAACAAGGAAAAAAAAAAAACAAAAAGGAAATGCTTTCTTATTACGGTAGTGGGCGTGAAATGCTGTTCTATATGTGTCTTAAAGAAAGATACAGTACTGTTACGTTCTGTGTAAATGTAGAATTACCTATGGAGAAGCATCTTTTAAATTTGGAATGGCATTTCACGTATTGCTTGCACTCCAGGTTGAGGATCTTGCTAATCCCTTTCGCGTTATAAAACAGGAGTTTCTATTAGGAAAAGGGGAAGTACATGATGAGGCAGGTAGCAAACGGGGGGCATTTTTCTACGCCATCCATAAGGCACAGCGCTCTGTTCTTCTTGAGCCTTGTAAAAAGGGTTAAGGGAGACGAATTCACGCATACAACCATGTACCCGTTACATATGTATAGGCACATATCTTAAGGTGAGCACATCAGTGTGCATGTAAAATTACGTTCAATCGAAGCACAAGGTTATGTGTCATCCTTTATGAGTTAATTTATGATCGTGTTGTTTTCCTCTTTCGTAAAAAAACTTCAAATCGAAATGGCAATTTCAGTTTTATAGCGAATGTTCAATCCAAACCGTTAACCATCTTCTCTGCATGTTCGCACGATGATTTATGTAAACAGGGGCGGGAAAGCAAATGCTTAAAAAAGACTTTTATGAGTAAAGTTATTGTTCTTTCATGCGTATTTGTTCCTATGCTGTACTTTATCAGGAAAAAAAAAAAAAAAATTAACGAGGAATTTCTAACCACAAAAGTAAAATTAATCTGAGTACAATTATTTCTGCACAAACTAACATATGAGCAAAAATCCCGCACGTATGCACTGCGTACTTTTTGCTCGTAGGAAGGGGAAATATTGAACCGGTTAAAAAAACACCAGGCAAAAACTCTCCCTATGAACAACCCATGTCCGTAAAAAGCCCAAAGCGCATTCCACGTGGAGGACGAAAGTGAAAGTTACGGCGAATAAGTCAAATTGCAAAAGTGGGAAAAATAGCTGTTTGGGCTTCGTTCAAAATGGTTTCAGTGTTAAGTTACGAATGTTTAAAGATTCCTTGCGGAATGGGCATAAATTTATGCAACACACAAAAAAAAAAAAAGATGATACATAGCATAAGTCAGCATAACACAGCGCAACAATTAAAGGGAGGCAAAACTAATGACCGTGAGCTGTTACACATATATCAAGGCCCGTATTCGCTACGTGTGCTCACTCTTAACTGTGAAACAAAATGGAAACGAAAAAAAAACTAACGATAAATTATTTGCATATAGGAAAACAGGCTATGTATTCTCTCAAAATTTTTTTAACTCGTAAGGCAAACAAATTAAAGGAGCGAATGTTTAATAATTCTTTAACTAGGTACATACACATAAGAAAAAAAAAAATAATAAAATAAACAAAAATGTAATAATGCAAACACAAAAAATAAAAATGTACACAGTTTTTATACACAATTGAGTCATTTCATCGTAGATCTATGTGCTACATCCCATTTCCGTGATTTACTCTTTTTTTTTTTTTTTTATTGAGCATTGCCCAAATGAATACTTAAGTAATATTAGGGATAGCGTTAAAGGCCGAGCTAGGCATGTCCTTTGTGTTCGTTTCTTCTTCCATTTGAATAGTTCTGATGTTCTATTTTTATATGCGCATTGGGGAGCACGCCACCCAGCCCGTGTGTGCAATGGAGGAGTGGAAAAAAATGTTTTTCCTCTATAGTGGTTACACACATGTTTTAACTATAACTCATTCCTAAAAAAGATCAGTGAAGACGTAGCTACAATGTGTTTAACAGAGCGATGAGGATGTAATCGCCTTCTTCCGCATTAATTGACATTTCGTCGATTTTGTCACGAAATATGCACATCAGCTGTTTATCTACTTACGCTGTGGCTTTTTTCCCGTGCTTTTTCATCTTTGCCTGACCCAGATAGCCATTTGTCATTTATTTTTATTTTTATTATTTTTTATTATTATTATTTTTTTTTTTTATTTTTTAAAAAAATTCATGATTGAATTTCTCTTCGCAAGTAAGCTAGTTGCCTCGGGACAGGTGTGCCCAAAGACGATGGTGGGAAAAGCAATGTCATCTTCTAGTTCGTGAAAGCCAGGTATGAAGGAAGCCAGTTTTAGTGTGACTAACCATTTGTTAAAATTAACTGAATTAGATAGGGTAATAGTTTTTATGTCTTCCTGAGTGATATCTAATTTACTTTTAATTTTAAAGGTGACCGTTAATTGGTCTTTATCATATAAAACTGTGCAGTTTTTTTTTTCCAGTATAAGGTCGGGTTGTAATTTATATTTATCCTTATGTATAGCAATAATATTCGTTTTGCAAAGCACAAAAGGCTTTCTTATTTTTTGATTTTTTTTGTTATTTAATGTATGAAAATTGTACTTTTCTATTTGCTCCTTAATGCTCACGAAATCGCGCGCCAACGAAATGGTTATATCGTATCGCTGCTCATATATGGTATCCCTCTGCATATAAATTCGTATTTTCCTTAAGTCCGAAATTAGCACCAATTCTATTTTTTCCTTGTCAAAGGAAAATAAGGGGATCTTCATTTCGTTATTTGGATAAATATATATAAAATTGCTATTTACTTTGACTAAACTTTTTACGTCCAAGTTGTCAAATAAATTGATGGAGAATATGTGTTTTTTCAAATTCATGTAGGAACTGCTGATATTTTCTCCTTTTATAAAGCCACCGAAACATAGCGCGTTTTTCCATCTATGGAACTCTGTTTTATTTAAGCAGTCGAGAACAATTCTATCATTACTATCTTTTGACGTTTCTTTTATGCTAATTTCTCCATTTTGTTCATTTGCTTGTACATCACAAAAATCGGATGTAAATTTGATTATGGGAACAGAATTTTCGTTTCCGTAATCTTTATAAATTGATAATACTCCTTTCTCAATGACAACTACTTGGTTGTTTTTAATCAATTTATCCGCTTTCTCTATTTTTCCCACCCCCGGTTCGGCCTTTCCATCTGACTGTTCAATAAATGATTTTTTTTCCCCTTCTTCGTTTTTTCCTTCCTTTTTCATTTTATCATAAATATTTTTCTGAATCACTTTAAAATTATTCTTACTCAATTTGGATATAAAATGATCATACTTCTCCTTCTTGGGGTAGTGAAAAATGTAGATCTCTTCATCTTTATTTTCTTCGGTCTTTATAAAGGTTAATTCTTGCGCACCATCATCTCTCAATATCTGCAAATTTTCGTTCTGGAATTTAAAAGCGTTTTCATCGTTGAAACTCATTTGGTCCTTCTTAAAAGGGTTGCCATCTTTGGATATGTAAAGTACATTTTCTTTTATACAGAACGTGTCTTCCATTTTGTCCGACAGGTTCAAATTTTCCAGGATGTCATCCTCTCTATCCTCCGCGTCTTTCTCCCCATCTTCTTCTTTCTCTTTCTCGCTCTCTCTTTCGACTGCCTTATCCATTAAGCCCTTTCTCTGGATTCCTATTTTTCTGTCGCCTTCGCTTTCCGTTTTCGCGTCCATTTCTCTACTACGTGATCTGTCCACTTCTCTAAAGAAGTCGCTTTCTGCATCTTTTCCTCCATCCTTGTCCCGATCTCTAACCCTATCTCTGGACTTTTCTCTAGCACCATCTCTACCTCTGTTGCTTCCCCGTTTTCCCATTTTTTCCCTAGCATCATATTTCCCCTTTCCCGCGGTTAACCCTTCCGAGTCATAAGAAGACACGTCAGAGCTGTCTACATCTTCATCATCGTATGCATCTTTGTTGCCTGATTCGTAAAGATGGTGCGAATTTTTCCACCTCATTTGATTTAGTATGTCCTGCAGGATACCCGTGCACCCTTTACTCTTTGGTAAAATAATATGCTGACCTTTAAAGTCATTAAAATAGAGGGTGAACTTATTATTTTTATAATCCATATGGTAATCTTGGCAGTTAATAAAAGCCTTTTTATTGTCAAAATTTTTGAGCATTAGATGATTATTTTTGGGGTTTCTCTTGATTAGTACATTACTACATAAGTAAGGTACGTTATTACCATTTTTGTCAATCCCATTGGGAGTAAATATATTTACAATAATTTCTGGGAAGGTTGATCTTAGTTTTCTGTAATATGAACCCCTTTCTTGTTCATCGCTTATATTTTCTGGTTTGTTCCCATAATAATTTTTGTTTAATCTTCCCACATGATCCCTTTTGTTTTCTTCCTCCCCTTCAAATTTGTCTATGTCATGTTTGATAAACCCTGCGTACTGCAAAGCGTAGTACATTCTCAGTGACTTATCGTCATCTTTTATTAAAAAATAATGCTTTTGTAGAATTTTGTCGAATGAGATATACTCCAACACATACACCTGCTTACTATAAAACGTCTTCACATTTTTGATATTCTTATTTTTTAGAACGTACGCTGGCTCTTCGTCCTCTTTTTTGCTATATATAAATATTTCTTTATTTGTAATTCCTATGAATTTTTCTTTATAATTCTCATAATTCAACAGTGCCCTTTTATTTCCTTTGTAACTATGTTTGTTCTTCATATGGTTGATGTTCTCTCCATCTGTGTCACTTGCTGACTCCTCGATGGTGCCTCCCTTCCGATATCCCTGTTTGGCACAGGGGGGATGCGAGTCGCTCTGTGAATCGCTGCTCGCGCCATCGTCGCTTCTGCTATGGCTACTTTTACCATCACTGATTTCGCTACCGCTGCTTTCGCTTTCCTCACCTTCACGTTCGCTGTGTATGGCTTCCTGGTTGGTGGTGTCTTCACTTGTGCCATGATTCGTGTCATCACTGATGGTGGTCGTCTTGTCCCCAAGGCCGTGCTGTGGATTGCTGTCATCGTCTTCGCTGGAGCTGTCTTCCGACCCTGCTAATGTGTGCTTTGGACCAACTCCCCGTATTTCCTTTTTTTTCTTGTCCTTTTTACATTTCTTCATTGAAAAAGGAGAGTGAAGAATCATGTCATTTTTTTTTTTCTTCTTCTTCGTCTTCTCCTTCTTTTGTTTTTTATTCCTTTTTTTATCCTTATTGTTCTTCCTTAAGGGCGTTTTTTTTTCTAGTGGATTATCAGAACTGTCGTCCGACAAATGGCTCGAGTCTTGCGCCGACTCGTTGGTTAAGCTGAATAAATTATTTAGTGATTCATTATTAGTCCGCAATAATGTTTGTTCCTTGTTGCTTTCAAAAAAGTGCAAAACGTTGGAGGAAAAGAAAAAATCCATTTTATTATCGCCACATTTCACATGCTGAATTTTATTTAACGTTTCTAATATTTTGTTAAATAGATTTTTCTGTTCCTGCGATTGCATTAAATTTAATTTTAGTACATTTTCATCATAGGTCATCCTTTGGTGGAGTTTTTTTTCAGGACTCATGTGCTTCAGTATGGTTACCTTATTCTCCATTTGTGTTGAAAGACCCGGGGGGGGATCTTGAATAGTTTTCACTTGCATATATTCATTTATCGCCTTACTATTTCTACCTCTGACATAATCATTTTGTAGGGCTAATACGATGGGGGGGGTAAGAGCCTTTTCTTTGTTCATACAGCTAATTATTTTGTGCAGCCTCTGGATTTCATTTTTCTGTTTTTCGTTTTGTTTTTTATATAAATGTAGTTCGGTCTCAATTTGTATTAGGCATCTCTTGGTGATGTGCAATTCTTCATTATTATTTTTATACAGATTTAGGAAATTTTCACTTTCTTTTTCATTATTTAAAAATTCTTCTTCCTTTAGTTTTTCCATCTTTCTATTTTTACACATATCACTTCTCATCATGTTAACAGTATTTGTTAGGTTTTCTTTTTCCTGTAGCAACAATTCGTATTCATATTTTCTTTTTTTCAAAAGGTTGTTTAATTCCTCCAGGAGGGTGTCTCTTTTGAGTAGTTGCTTTTCCAGTACGTTGATTTTTTGAAGAAATTCATTTTCTTTATTTAGTTGCATGCTCAACATCATGTCGTTTTCTTTTTTTCTGTTTAGTTCCAGCCTGAGGGTTTTATTTTCTTCGTCATTTTTCAAGGCATTTTTTTGCAGCTCTTCGCTGCTGCTTCGCAACTCTATGAGCTTCTTCTCCAACTCGTTGATCTTGTCTCTCTGCCGGTCGATTATCACTTCTGCGTACTCGAGCACGTTCCTTTCCCCCATCGTGGCCACTCCTACTGATGATGCGGGTGATGATGCTTTTACTTTTTTTAAATGCTCCGCGGGCGTCCTTGCGCAATGGAAGGCAGCTTTCTTTTTCTCATTTAATTCATCGGGCGGGTCTCTATCCCCCACGGAAAGCGCTAACAATGCATCGTTCTTGATGGGTGTCCTTATAAATGTGTCTTTTTAAAAAAAGCAATTACTCCGAAACGGCCTTAGATCGAGGGCTTAAAAAAAAGTAATAAAAAAAAAAAAAAAGAAATGGCTTCACTTTTATGCGATATGCACGTCCCAGGGGAACTGCTCAAAACGTACACATAGATGGAGAGAGAAAGAGAAAGACGTCTGACAATAGACCGATAACCACGCAGTTGTCCTTTTTCCAGCACGTTACAACCGATTAATAAAATTTACAACAAAAAAAAAATCACATTCGTAACATAAACAAAAATTTTTAATTTAGCCGGTACTAAACAGAATCGTATTTTCGTCTTTAGAACTTTTTAAAAAAAGTGAATTGCAACAATTTTCAAAAAGTTTGTAAAAGGGGAAAAAAAAGGAATTAAATGGAAAATAAAAATGCGCGCAAAGATGAGCAGAATGAACTGCAGATATAAATACACAGACGTGTGTTATGAAAACGCATTTTTGCGCACTTGCGCAATTTCCCCTTCTTACTGGGAATACTTTTTTATGTGTTCCTTCTTGCCAGACATCGGGGAAATAAGTAAAATAAAAAATTACAAGTCCGAAAAAAATACATATACGTTTATGTACGCATACATACATATACACACAAATACAGTGAAAAAAAAAAAAAAAGAAACGCCCAGTCAGTGTTTCATTTGCATGAATTTTAGTTTACCCCCTATGTGCCACTTGGACGGCATTTAAATAAACCAGCAATTCGCAGTTGCATGAAGACAGGGGCATGCGGTTTAAGTGTTCCCTTCGGAGATACGGGGACTCTGTCACCCTCTCCGAAGGTTATTATGTTGGAAGAAGAGGAATGACATTTGAAAAAAAAAAATGCAGAAAAAGGTATACACAAACTACGCATACATATGCGTATGCACATTAGTTTTTTTACACCAACACTATTTGTTCAGGTTTTTTTAATTTTAGTTTTCCCTTCTATGAAATGTTGACAAAAGATGATGGAACAATTTGAAGTAAAAAAAAAAATACATTAAAACATTTAAATTAATAATACTGTGTTTAAATGGTGGCTAAAAATTATTATGTGAAAAATGTTTCATAATAAAAGAAAAAGCTTTATCACAATAACAAATGTAAGAAAAAAAAATAAAATACTGACTACAATGTTTTTTGGGTGAATTAAAAAAAAAAGGGGGGGAATTCCCACACGCTTCAACAACACTTGGATTTTTTCTTTGAATCATTCTCGTCATTATCGTCGTCCACCTGGAAGTTGTAAAACAAAAAATGAAAAAATGAGAAAATGAAAAAAATGCATTTCAAACGTCTCCCATGTAGACGGCTCAAAAGTGACACCCAAATGTGTAACATGTTATTCGTTTCTCCCGTCGATTCTTTTATTTGTTCCTTTGTAACATTTATTTTTTTCCCGCGCGGTTGGATCGACATGCTGTCTTCATTTTTTGTGCCTTGTTTTTTCTGTCGGACGTTGTAAATTTCTATAGGGTCAGAAATTGGGCAACACGCACATGAATATAAGCGTCTGTATTATAATTAAGGATGTCCTTAGGGAACCTACGACGCGACAATGGTTCTTCCGTTACATATCACTCAATTTTCTTCACACACGCATACGTGTTGCCGGCGTGTGAGTGTAAATATAGACGTATATCCATACGTATGCTGCACCCCGTGAAGCGTCGTTCTACGGTTAATGATCACATATATAGACGCTTCCACCCATATGTGCGCAGCTGTACACACTTACCATTCAGTAACTGGTGAAATGCTAGTTCCACGTTGGTGGCTTCCAGAGCAGAGGTCTCTATGAAGGCCAATTTTTCTTTCTTCGCAAACTGAGTTGCTTCATTATCGTTTATTACACGTAAATGTTTTAAGTCACTTTTGTTACCAACCAGTAGGATAACAATGTTAGAATCAGCATTATCTCTTAACTCCTTCAGCCACTTTTCAATATTTTCAAATGAGTTTTTCTTTGTTATGTCGTACACAAGCAAGGCCCCAACTGCCCCTCGATAATACGCTGAGGTGATGGCCCTATATCTCTCCTGCCCGGCTGTGTCCCATATCTGTGCTTTTATTATTTTATTATTTTTTAACTGAATGCTTTTTGTCGCGAATTCTACACCTATGGTGCTTTTGCTTTCTAGGTTAAATTCGTCTCTCGTGAATCTGCAAAGAGGCATAGAAGGGGAAAAAGAAAAGGAAAGGGTAAATGAAAAGGAAGGAGGGGGAAAAAATGAGCAAGCCGAGTCATTATTGTGACCATTTTTCAAGGCAGCGTCTCGTCCCAACACCGGTATGTGCACTTTACACAGCGGCTCTCTTTCCGCTGTCGTCAATATTAAAATTATCAAAAGGTTGTTTCTCGAAGGCGTATGGACTATTTTTAAGAACGAAAAGGTGTGCATTTGATCACACGAAAATGTTATGTATCCACGGGCGTGTACCTCTCGTGTGACGCCTTTTTGTGCACATGCATACCTGGAGAGTAAGTTCGATTTCCCCACGCCGGAATCTCCTATCAGAACAACTAGGTAAAAAGGAAAAAAAAAAAAAAATATCAAAATGATGCTAACTATTGGGCATATTCAACATGTGTGCTCTTCTCAAATGTCCGGGGGCATGCGGCGGAATATATACGTGGACTTCTACACACACAAATGTGTACATAGACAATGCGCACGTATAGTTACATGTATTCACGTTTTACTTTTAAACAGGTAGTCGTAGTAATCTTCCTTCATTGACATTTTTACAAAACAGTTTCGTCTTAAATCGAATAGGCTTGAGCGTCTATACAAAAGTGCAGGATCACCTCTTGAATGTATTTGTGTGTTTATGATATGTGCGCATATATTTATCGCATGTCCATATGTGTCATTATGCAGGAAATTAAATCAAAAAAAGATAAAATAAATGAAACATTCCCTTAGAGAAGGAGTCTTTTTTTTTTTTTTGTTGGGGGTGGGGAGGCAGTACTTTGTGCTGTTTGCAGTGTTCTATAATTTGTGATAGGAGGCACTCTATATTCGGTTCACAGTGTTGCTATTCATAATATAAGTTTATAAATTATACAAATTGTAAAACAACGAATTCGGCGTGTGTTATAAAATTGGAGATTTACAAATCAATTTGATGCATTTGTTTGTATTCATATTTTTGACATGGTAAAAAGAAAAAAAATAAAAATAAGTAGCTTTACTTTTTACGTTTTAATTGTGACTTTTCCTCTATTTATATGATTCCCCCGAGCGAACCATATAAATAATGCAAATTTTCACATAAATGGGATATGCGTGATGGTGAAGTGTTATGTAAAAACAGAGTTCACCGCGGCGTACAGATGAATCGACAGATGGATGGATGTACACGCAATAGCATATGGAAGTTTATGTCACAGTATTATATATATGCGCATTTAACCGAGTACATACGTCGAAAACAATTTGTTCGAATTTTACAAGCGCCAAAGTATAAATGTAAATACGCACATAAATGCGCTTTAGGTATATATGTATGGCGTATGTACATTTGAATGATTCAAAAGTTAACGTTTCCATATCATTTTTGTTCATTCATTTGTGGCAAATGGTACATATGTGCGAAAATTCATGTGCAGTACCTTCATACATCATATGTATAAACGGCTGTAATGGCATGATAGATTTGTAGGAGTATGTTAATTTTTTACGTAAGCGTATCTGCACGGGATTACATGTTGTATACATATGCAATTCAGTTCATTTCAATTAATTTTCTTTTTAGGAAGCAAAGTGATGTTTCAAACGAAGAGCACAGCTGCGAATATTTTTCACTTTTCACGGAGAAATAGAAATTAAAATTGAATGTTTTTTTTTTTATTTTTTTTATTTTTTCAAAATTGTCACGTTTTTTTAATTACCAAAACTGCACATTTACAATTCAGCAGTTTTCACATTTTTACCAAAATAAAAAATGTACGCAAAAAAAAAAGTGGTTACACAAAACATTTCAAATTGAGAAAATTTAAACAAAAAAATGGCATTTATGTATAAGTGTAGGTGTACCAGTGTGTTGAACGCATATACAGGCATCCATCTATATATATGTGAACACGTGGGTACAAGATGTGTGTGAATACAAAGGCAGGGGACTTTTTCACAAGCACTTGTTTCATTTTTTCCAAATGAATTCAAAGGACACTTGGGAAAATTTTAAAAACAAAAAATTGACAAATAAGGGAAGGGATGGCGGAAATGTAAATGCCTTCCTTGATGTTTTCTTTATTTATTTTTCCCCCACCGAAGGTGTGCGTCTACGTACGTGCACAAATGTATACATACGGAAGCATATACATACGTGCCTCCGTACGTACGTCCATGCGATGCGGGGGAACGCTCACTTTTTCATAATTTGCTTCATCAATTTTTGCTGATCCCGAATTTTCTCTATGTTGTTTTCCATTTTTTCGTTCACACCCCCTAGCTGCAAATTTAAAAAGAAAAAAGAAAAAAAACGCGTGTATGTTTCCTCACATGCAAGAGACTAAATTTACATGCATATTCTTTAGAAAAATTGAAAAGAAATAAATTTTATGGTATGATGAAATTCTCCTTTTGGCTTAAGTGGCAAAAAAAAAAAAAAAAAACACAAGTTCAGGGGCGCATCGACATGTAAAAATATTTCTGTCTACCATCCTGTTCTGCTCGTTTATTGTGTTCCCCATGACTAAGGCTCTCGTGTGCAATTCGTCCAGCTAATTATAAAGGTGATGGGGAAAAAAAAGGAGGGGGAAAATTGCAAAATGGAAGCGGCAGAATGGGTGAAGTGACAAATAAAAAATGGAACAAGATAAGTAGTACATGACGCCTGTATGTTCAACGAGTGCACAGTTCATACCATGGAAGACAGGGTAGTTAAGTCGCTTTCGTATTTTTCGTCGAATGTGCCTTTCCCTTCAAAGAAAAAAAAAAAAAAAGGAAACACCATGTTGCGTAGAGATTCTCCCTTCAGGTATGAGAACATACACATAAACGAATGCATTGAATGTGTCCAAAACGGGTCATAGGCCAAATATGCGAGCGGGTGGACTATTCTTATGTGTACTTTTGGGTGTCCCTTGTATATTCAGAGCGCTTCTACAAAACTTGTCGTCATTCTTTTCATATTTATTATTATAATTAGGACTTGTTTTTTTCTTCGTGTTATTATTCAGCTGATTAATTACGGTTTTATTTTCGCTACTGCTAAACGTTTCGAATCCTAGGAATGAGTTGATGTTTTTCCACCAGTATTTTATTCCTTCCAAGTGGTACTGACTTTGATTCAGGTTTTCCTCAATATTTTCGGTCTCTTTATTGATATGTTTTATTTGTTCTGCACGGGGGAGGGGTGGATACATAAAAATGGAAGCATGCAAATAGGTAATTTCGACATTTTGCTTTTTTTCGTTGTACACAGTGCGCATACATAAGGTGCAGTTTTCTCATTTTCGTTCCCCTATCTGTCCGTGCGTTAGCTATTTAATTATTTTGATTTTCCCCTTTTATCATATTTCTCATTTGTCCACAAATTATGCGTCATGAAATGGACCGATAGCTCATGTTGACACTGGAACCCAGTTGGCCACCGGGGAAAGCAGCTCGCCGCTCTTTTACCTGTCTGATGTTCTAACTCCTCTTCGGCTTTTTTCGAAATTTCGGTGACTTCATTTGCTGACCTCAATATTTCATTCAAGCTTTCTTCGCATTTTTTTTCAATCTCAGTTATTTTCTGCGGAGCGTGTGTGCGGAGTGAACGGGCAGCAGTTGAGTTAACATGGGTTAATATATATACGGAAGCGGGAACACGTTAGTATAACCACAACATCGGCAACCTCGCCTTGTGCAAAGCAGCTCATCGTGTCTTTCCTAAACGTATCACTAGGCGCTTGTATGTATGGAAGCGAAACTAAATATCTCAAAATTAGTTGGCGTGGAACACATCAAATTAACAAAGACGCGCTTATGCTTCTTAGCAAAGGAGTGAGCAACTGGCATTTATAAATGCTCATGCAACATGCTCAATTATTCTTGTGTCCACATGGACAGAGTACATTTGCTTATGCTTTACGCTTTTTTAAAATTAACATTTCTTTGGGAGTACGCAGATCTTTTTTGACTCATTTTTATGATAATCAAAACTTGGGTTCCTTCATTTAGTTGCTGTTCACTGAGATTTGCTCCCGCGAAGGGGCCTTTAAAGTTTTGTGCGATGATGGACAAGTGTGAAAGATGGGGAAGAAAAAAAAAATGGGTCACAGAAAAAAAAAAAATGGAAAAAATGGGAAAAGCGCAACGAATGCATCGGACGAAGGGCATACAAAAATGCGAAATGGTTCAAAAAAAATGGGTAACAAAAAAAGTATACGTTTTTATGCATGTAATCCCAACAGAATGATTTCGTTTTTGCAAAAACGAGCTCGGCGCAGGGCTAAAATGTTGCAACCCAACGGGTTTTAAAGGTTACTCTGATTGGCATTGCTCGATTGAGAAAAGGAGTATGTAGTAGGCGCATATGCATATCTTCACATTATACATGTAACACCCTCGCGTGGGCAAAATTTCACTCATTTCATATACCCGTAAAAAAATTTATTCTGTGCAACTTTAAGGAAAAAAGAAAAAAAAAGAAATAAGAAATGCCATTTCGCTGTGGGCAAACGAACTATACATCTGTTCGTTCCCCCGCAAAGGAAGAAAGCAAATTTGCAGTAGCACAAAAAAGTGTTAAATAGATTTTTCTTTTTCGAGATAGTGACATGATTTACCAGAGTCCCCGTTTTTCTACTTACAATAATTTTTTAGCATATGTATTTTTTTAACCATTCGCTGGATCACCGTTTGAAGGAGCACAACGAGCCCCGATAAAAAATGTGCTACTAGTGACAGGGACAACTACAGTGACCTTTTTAACTGAAGGAGGAATCAAGTCGCATGGAATTTGTTTAATTTTTCGGCCCTTTTGTAAATAACCCTATCCTGTTTAGACGTAGCACTGTCCACAATCTGAGTAAGACTGGCAGTTCGCGCAGGCACCTCGCGCAGCAGCCGAATTGGTTAGCAGCCAAATTGTGTAGCAACCGAATTCCAAAAGATGCTAAAAGGGAAAGACCGAATAAAGTGCCTTCGTACGTGCACTAATGTGTGTGCCCATACATGTAAGCACATTTGCACATCTGCTCATTCGCACGGGGAGACAATCGCACAGACATACATGTAACCCAACACGTAAACATACACGCGGCGCTATAACATGAACAGAAGTAGCCATTACGTCAAAAGATCATATGCACTAAATTTTTTACGGAAAAATATTTTACACACCAATAGGATTAATCATAGTTCTTTTATCTATCATGAGAACGACAAGGGAAACCATATACTCCAGAAATGTTATGCCAAGTTTGTGGAAGAAAGAAAAAGGCTGCAAGATGTACTGTGTAAAAGTACGAACGTTCGCAACTTTCTGCCGTCCCCAAGGAGTAGGAGTTCTCCATTTAGGTGCTACTCTGACAAGAAGAAAAGAGGTAACAATAAATACAAAACGAAAAAAAGAAAAAAATATTTTTTCAATTTTGTCAAAATTAATAACCCCTTGAATTTTATAAAAAAAATGATATTATCCTTCTTACTTATTTTTGGAATAAATAATTATATTATCGACATGACGCTGACGAGTGGATCGAGTATGTGTCCATTAATAAATGAAAACGGAGTCATTTTATTCTATGTGTGTGATGATACTGTAAGATTTATTCACCAAGCGCGTACCATCTTTCTGTACAGCTGTATAAACCTGCTGCTTCGTTGTTACGCTGTAATTGGGTCAGACTTTGAGCAAACCTATATGGTCATTTTAAATAATAAAATTTTCAGCATGATAGAAAAGTTAAAAAAAAGGATGAAAGAAAATAAACATGTTTACAGAAGGGGCGATGTCATATTGCTAACTTCTCCTGTGAATGACAAAAAAAGAGTGTGTAAAAGGATTATTGCCATAGAGAATGATAAATTATTCGTTGATAATATAAACGCCTTTGTCCACGTTCCTAAGGATAACATATGGATAGAAGGGGACAACAAAATGGATTCTTTTGACAGTCGAAATTACGGATTTGTTCATATGGATTTAATAATTGGCAGAGTCATTTTCTTGCTGGATCCGTTTATTGACTTTCGTTTTATTAGTAACAAAACGAGTTGATAAAGGATAACACCCTGAGGTGTTGACTGTTTATGTCCCAGATAGAAACAAAGCAAAGCCGAATTTGCTTTTTTCTGGGCAAAGGGAAACTACCCCACTTTGGAGGAAACCTTGCGGAAATAATTAATTTTTATGCGGAAAGGTTTATCCCAATTGCGGATGACACCTTTTAAGGGGGTGCTGTATTGGAAGAAGACGCAAAAAGGAACCAAAAAGGGAATCAAAAAAAAGCTCCTCCCACCCTCCAATTGAGCAGTACGCTGAAGAAACGAAATTTGGGGAATAACGTACCCGTGTGTGTTATCCAAGATGGCGGTAACCTTGAGCCGCTTTAAAGGGGGAACTATTTTTTTTGTTGCAACGGTATAGTGCTGAAACAGGTGGGCACTTTTTTTTTGTGTAAATTTATCCAACGTGCAGAGGTGGACACTTTTTTAACTTTTTTATTTTATTATTTTATTTTTTTTAATTTTTTAATTCTTTCTAATTTTTTTTAATTTTGACCCCCATTTTTGTAAACAGCACATTTGACCCATTCGTCTTATACGTAAAAGGAAATAAAAATAGGACCCAGCCGTTTTAACGACGGTGGAGGAGGCGGACGGAATGGATACATAACAACGTATCCGCGATAGCACCCTTCGTTATATGCGCCTCCAAAACGTGGAGTGGTGCCTACGCGCGGACGTCTGGATGTGGCTAAATGCATGAAAAAGTATTTTTTTTTGTCCGCAAAAATTTCCCAATGTCAATTTTTTTTTTCTTTGTGTAAAGTCCGTTCGCGTGGGTTGTTCTTCGGTTTAATTTACATCGTTTCTTCTTAATGACCAATGCCGACCTATCTGTGCTGGTGTGGTTCTGCCGTTACTTGTAACTAACCGATTTGTTTTGCGAATAAACGTGTGCGTCCCCTGTGCACACACAGACATGTGTGTATGAACGGTAGATATTCTATTTTATCAGACAACGATATGCCCTGGGGAAGCTACCCTTCTTTTGAGTCAAACATTTCAACGTCTCCTTCCCACCAACGTGAAGAAAATTCTACGAAGTTGCCTGAGGGGAAACAGTTGATAAGGGTACGTAGAGGGGAGCGGCGCAACGGGGGCAACTTAAGAGAAGATAAAAAGTGCAGTCCCTCTTTGCGCGTGAAAATGAAAAGGGATGGACAGCAAAAGGGGGGAGGAAAAAAGGGGAGAAGAAAAAGTGAGGGAACCCAAAGGGAGGAAGCCAAAGATGGGAGGGAAAAACCGAAACAGATCGAGCACCTCGGGAATCACCACTTCGGCCTGCACTCCGAGGAAGACTCTTCGCCAAACGATTTCAGGCAAACCAGCTGGATATACCAAGATATAGAGAATATGCTGAAGGAGGCAAATGAAAAATGTAATAATTTAAACGAGAGAGGTGCGTTGGGCGGCGGTATCGAATTGGAGGCCCTTCTTGGGAAGAGTGAGAATTCGGCAAAATTACCCACAGAAGTCAACTCAAGAAGATCAGGCAAACTGTCCAGTTCGTCCAACTCAAGGACGCCATCCAAATTTTCCCGTTCGCCCAACCCAAGCAAATCAGCCAAACTGTCCAGTTCGCTCAGCTCTTCCAGCCCAACCAATTCGAAGTCAGCAAAGCATCTCACGTCAAGTTACTCCTCCGGGGCGACTGTCTCCCAAAGCAGCAGCAACACGTCGGACGAAATGGAAAACTTGTCTCTTACCGATGAATTGTCCGTTAACGAAGATTTTACGGGGGAAGATGGAAATGGAAGTAGCTCCGTTGCTACATCGACCGGGGATGGAATAGTGAACAGTGATAGCAGAACCTCCAACAATAGCGACAGTCGAGATCGAAGTAACGATGAGGGAGGTACTCAAAAAAGTCTCAGTGGAGGTACGTCCAGCAGTGCCCGTGAGGAGGACAAACATAAAAATGTGTACTACAAGTGCATAACCATATTTTCACTGAACAGCTATCTGTACAATGACATGTACAAATATAACCCCCATCTGTACGGCATGTACGAGACCTGCAGAAATAACGAAAGGAGGTGCAAAAAAATTCGCCTACTCTGCTCCCAATTCGACTTAATATTTCTCAGATCTGTCTTCGGAAAATATCAAAAAGATTTATATGATGTGTTGAAATATACTCATACTGTGTTGCTGGACAATGTCCCCTCATCCCATGCCATCTTAAATGAAATTTTATATACTCTCCAGAATTATGTGAGCGGAAATGGGGGGTTATTCATCTGCTGGAGGAAAAAGCTCTTCCACTTGTCCTACTACGATTACATGTTTTTATCATCCGACATTTTGTTTAAAAGGAAGGTCATAAAAATTGTGAAATTAATTTTTAAAGGAAAATACAGTTTGTACATTTTACACTGCGAATTTGATTTATACAGCGCTCAAAATAAGCTGAGCAATCTGGAAGATCTAGTTCTCCTGATGAAGAAAACATTGTGGAAAATTTATCTCTTCCAAATATTTTACATAAATAGGAGACAATTCAAACGCAGGGAAGGATCTCCGTGCACTGTGGAGGAATTGCCAACTAATGAGTATGTTGACAAAATTGAGGCAATAGCAGAAATGAACAGGGCGGAGAAGGAACTACAAACGAAGGTAGAAGTGGTAGGTCCCTTTTCCAACCTAAGGGATGAAGAAAAAGGGGATAGTTCCGACAGCCATAATGGCGTAGCACCGAATACGTTGAAGGGAGACCAAACGGATAAACCCGTAACAACCATGACCTTCAGAAACAGCTCCATGTTAGTTATCGGAAGCTTCAACATGGACGTCAATGAAGAGGGGGAACTATACGACAAACTTGTAAATCTAAACGGTAAAGGCAGAATGAAAGATTTATTTTTTCACAAAAATATCAATTATAAATTACAAAAAACGTACGACATTGTTGATCGGAAAAACACCCTGGTTAGTGGATTGAACCACTCATTTGGATTGACGGATAATATCTTCCTCGTAGAGTCCTTTATCATCGACACGGAAGACATCACAGAATTGACCTATTTATTTAACCCCTCAGATGTGATTTCCGAAAAAATGAGCAAGTTAAATAAATCTCTAAGTAGGTACAATTTGGAAAACTTTTCCCAACTGATTAACAAAAATGGAGTACTCATAAAATTTCAAGACGTCTTTAACTACGGAGTTGATATATTAACGCAGAAGGGAAAAGAATTTAGTGACCACTGGGCTCTATCTGCACGGATCCATTTAAAAAATACCAGTAAAAGTGTCAACCTCCATATAGAAAAACAGCTCCATAACTTCTTGCTGAACGTTGACAAGTACTTCGTTTTGGGGAAAAGGTCTTACCACGAACTGTGCGCTGTGGGGAGCTCTGGCCTCTCGGGAGAGCAGAACCCCAATCGGGGCGGTAAATGTGCAGGGGATAAATTTAAAAAAAAGAACCACAATGAAGAAGCCAAAATGGAGAAGTATAACTATTCACAGAGGTGCATAATATCAAGTGCAAACATTAATTGCATTCACAAGGTGGAAAGACGGCTGTTCGAAACCCTGTCCAGGTGTTTCGAATCGGATTGAGGTGGTTTGCGGTAGAGTAAAACACAGGCGATAAAATTGATAGCAGTTGAAAAAGAAAGGCTCCCAAGGAGCTTCACTTTGTACCTCTTCCACTCTTCGAGTGAATCACCTCACATTTTACCGCCGCCTCCAGGTGCTAAACAAACTGCTCAATTGGAGTTATCCATATTAATAACTCTTGCGAAGTTTTCTTCACATTATGACAAAATGAATAGGCATATTTGGTTCAAAAGAAAAAAAAAAAAAAAATCATCACCATGTGCACAAGTTACTCGCGCGTATTCCATATAAACAAACTTTACAAAAAATACCCTTTGCACAGAAACTAAAAAAGGATATTAAAAAAGGGTTAAAAATTTTGCCACAAAAAAAAAAAAAATTAATAAAACAAAAATGAAGATAACTGTCACCTGGGGAATTTTCCCGCATTTCACAGTTCAAACCGTTTTAGATGTACAAATGGGCACACTTGTGTCAAAATAGTTGCACGAAAAAAAAAGAAAAAAAAGGGGGGGGTTGGAGGAGGATAAGTCAGACCATCGCAAGGGTAGAAGTCCGCGAGCCGAAGCATAAGTTGACCACAGAGCGCACACCGCAGTATGGGCCAATCCAGTTACTTCACGTCCAAGCTGCCTAGCGCAGTAGATGCGACAAAGCGTGCCTGTGTGGAAAATGGAAGGGGGAATCTTTTGGGGGGGGCACATCTCCCCCCCACCCCCTCCCTCCTTTAGTCGGCCCTTCAACTGAGAGAAGGGAAGAGTACAAGCCTGCTTTAGAACTCGTCCAAGTCCAAATGGTCATCGGCCCTTTTTGCAATATCCATTTTGTTACTTATATAATTCTTAATATTTTGTACAATGGATTTATTGCCAAAGGACTTGAGTAGTGACCCGGGCCTGCTGCCACTTTCTCCCTCGTCCATGGTGGAGACATTTTCATAAGAAGATGTGTCCCCCTCGACAATACTACTACTATTTCGTAGACTTTCCAAAGAATTGATTCTTTTCTTTTGTCCATAATACTGATTATACACATCTGTGATGTTAAACTTGTTTTTAAAATCGTGGCTCATTAAACTTTTAGCTTCATAAATTATATCATAAGGATCAAATGGAGGGATGTTTTGCAAAAGTTTGAGGTTCACAGTGAAATTCCCACATAAAATGGAACTCTTCAGTTTGATACAAATGACTAGACATATGTACAAAATGAAATTCTCATCATTATTAATGATGAAGTGGTCGTATAATATAATAGTGTCCGCCATGTCAAACTCCTGTGTCAGTAATAAAAGAATCCATTTTAAAGCATAATATTGCGTTTCTATTTTCTGTGTGTACAATTTTTTCCAAATTTCATATTCTTTTATTCTTAACAAGAGGGAAAACTTTTTTAGCTTTCCGTTAATTCCATCATCTGTGTTGTCTAACCCTTCACAGAAAACATCTTTTTGTTTTTGCATTAACTCGATGAAGCAGAAAAAGGTATCCGCTTCTCCCTGCACAGGGCAGTTACATAATGGGTCATTAAAAATAATAAAATATAGGGGAGCTAAAATTTCATTCATCCCTTGGACGTATTTAACATAGGGGTGAATTTTTGCATATATGAAGAGAATTCTACACAACAGATCGTAATGCCTTTTAGGGTTAACAATGTCGCAAACATCTGCTGAATGGGCACCAAAGGAGTGTTCATAGTTGTTCTTTTTTTGGCAAATTTTCGCTTTTTCCCTCAATTTGGCTGTAAATTTTGGGGAAGTTTCATCCACAAGGGGGACAATTTGTTCATTTTCGTCTTGCTGTCCAATTCGCACACCATTAATGGATTCTTCTTTTTTGTCTTGTGCATTCTTCGCTTGGGATTCTGACTGCTCGGGGGGCCCTTCCCCCATCTCATTTATGTTGACTAGAGATGGTATTTCCTCTTCCGGCTCTTCTTCAAACTGTTCTACACTAATTAAACTGTTCAATATTTTTACATTATTATTAATCGTCTGCTGCGGGTTCAAATTAAAAAAAGACAATTCGGGTCTGGTTCGAAACGTGTCCTTATTAATTTGGCTGAACAATTCGGAGTTTATGAAGTTCGCATCTGAGTCGTCGTCCAAATAGGTGGAGGACGCGTCTTCATTGGGGTCTCCCCCCAATTTGGCCCCTCTTGCAACTGCTTCGTCAGCTTCCCCTGCTTTCTCAGCTTCCCCTGCTTTCTCAGCTTCCCCTGCTTTCTCAGCTTCCCCTGCTTCCTTCGCTGAGTCTACCCCCTCGATGCCAGTTTTCCCCCCCCTGAGTGGATTCAGTACAAAGCATTTTATATAATCCTCGTACAGCTTCTTCTTTTCGCCAAGCTCTTCATGCCACCTCCTCGTATTTAAACTGAGATGCTTTAAAGCTAGCTTCCAACATAGGGAGCGAACACAAGGGTTAATGTCTAAAATGTTTTTCTCGAACAGATAAACCAATTCCTCTTCGTCAATTAACACCTTTTCGAATATGTTAATGCAGGTTTTTATTTGCTCGTCGAACTTTGCAATTCGTTCATTTTTTTTTTTAAACATGAGCAAGTAGCTCAAAATTTCTAATTTGTACTCCATCTCGGTTGGACTAGGGCAAACTACTGCGGTAGTCCCTGAGTTGTGGCCATCATCCAGTTGTTCGACCATCCAGCTGTGCACTCAACAACCTGTATGCTCCCCGATACACGCATGTAACTGGTCCTGCGCTGCTATTCTCCGTAAAGGGGAACACGAAATTGGGATGTATCTGCTGGTACGTTTTCAATTATCGCAGATCGCGTGGCGGCGCAGGACTGCCGAGAGAAAATATTACCCACAAATTATAAACCGCTAACATATAACATACCAAAAGGTAGGAAAGAAGGAAAACTGCATTCGACATGCCTAGCAATTGCGCCGTGGCATGTTTCGAAACACTACCGTCATGGCCTACGATCGTTCACCTGTGAGTACACGTTCGCATGTGCTTAGATTTATACGAGCAAAAATATGTAAACATTACACCGAATTTGATTACATCGAAGAGTAAAAAAAGGTACAATTTATACAAATCCAACGATGGTCGCTTTTTTATTTGTGCTTCAATTTCATTTTTACGCCAGAACAGTGTGCCTCGCGGAGTGATATGATTTTGCCAAATTGTTTCGACGTAATGGAAATGTGTTTTGTTTAATATTTACAAGAAAAAGTAAAAAAAAAAAAAATAATAAAAAATAAAAAAATTCTTGGTCTTAATATCGTACATCTTAGGGAGTCACGGGTGGGTCTCTTCCCAAGCCAATTTTTCTATCGATTCGTGCTAGCAATGTAAAGGTCCAAAAGTATAAAAAAAAAAGTACGCGATTGTTAAAAATGCGAAGTAGTTTAACCCCTGGAGGGTCGCGAATTTACACAAAGGCAAAAAAATTCAAGATTAGGAGGAACGAAAAATGAACAAGTGCAACTATCATGTCAGGAAGCGCAAAATACATAGAGAGGGAAACTCGCGCACTACATGATCAATTTTTAAAATAAGAAAATTGCAAATGTATTGGGCGCATATGTATAGCCCCCAATCTGACATTCATTGTAAGGATACCTCTTCCTCATGAAAAATATATATTCACGCCATTGGTAAAAACACACATACGGGTGAAAAGACCACCCCACCCAAAATTGTACCCCGCAGCCCACACAGGAAAAGCCATTTTGTGTCCGACAGAATTATGCCTCACTATGATGGATGCCGAAATGAAGAGATCATCAGCGCGTTTTCTTTATCTGCATGAGGATGAATTAATATTAGCACAAGAACTACATGGTTGACACTTCTTCACCTTTTTTCTTTTATTCATTCTGACTGCTAAGCAACGACTGGTGTGAAGAAAAAATGTGTGATTTTCAAAAAGCTTTTTTTTTTGCGTTACTCTGTATTTTTTTATGTAAGAGGAGTAGACATTCGTGTAGCAAAAGATACGCCACCTCACAGTGGAAGTTCATTAGTGCATCTGGCACAGTTGGGGATTGTAGCAGCACCAGCAGATGTGTCTTTAAGGCCCCCAAGGTTTGCTCAATTTGGTGAAGCGGCTAAGCGCATTCGGTGTGCCAATTGACTTTGTCCCCGTTTTTTTTTCTTTTTTTTTCTCTATTTTGCCACCTTGTCATTACTCCGCGCCATCACTTTACACTTTTTTTTGATCCCATGTCAGCTGAAGAGAAGGAAAAAATTTATTCAGGCTCAGGATAACGCCAACTTGGAAAAAATAAAGAAACTCAGGTAAGGACACTTCTCCCCTTTCTTCACCGCACCGTCTTTTGTGATCATCGTGCACGCGAGTTTGGCCATATGAACCCTTTTCAAAATTTCACAACTGCACACACTTCTTCCCCCCTAACAGGAACGTGGTAAAGGAAATCAAAAAAGACAACATACAGGAGTTCTACAACGAAGAGAGACAAAAAAGAGAAAAGGAGACTACCGCGTGGAAGGTGATCCTGTACAACGACGATATTCACAAGTAGGACAGGAGGAAGTGTGAAGGGGGCATCTTTCAATGCACGTGTGTAGCAGTGCTAATGGGTGTTTCATTATTTCCCTCACCTCGCCATGCACACCTCCGTAACCATTTTCCATGTGTTGAAAGCACACTTATGAGAAGGCTCCAACAGGTCGCAAAATTTTGTCCGCCCCCCATACACACATGCATTCGCAGTTTCACCTACGTAACGGACATTATCGTAAAGGTAATTGGGCAGATAAGCAAGGCAAAGGCGCACACCATCACGGTAGAGGCCCATAGCACAGGTCAGGCTCTCATTTTGTCAACCTGGAGATCGCAAGCGGAAAGATACTGTGAAGGTAACAACGTGAACGTTTCATGCGGATGTGCAATTTGACAATAATTGTTGTGTGGGGATATGCGCAGTTGCACATACGTGATTGTGTAGGTTATGTGAAAATATCTGTAAAGGAGTCCACTTTTTGCCATTTTTACAGAACTGCAGAAAAACGGTCTTACCGTTTCGATCATTCACGAGAGTCAGCTGAAGGAGAAGAAAAAAGGCCCGGACGCGGGCTCATAAGGGTGGTGCCGCTGAAGCTGGCATAATTTCGCTACAGTGTGGCAACATTTACCCTAATGTTTCACCTACAGCGTGTCACATAGCGCATCTGCACAAGTTAGCCTTGTTCAACCGAATTTTGCAAAAGTTCCCCCGAAGGGGCAAGGCGTATGCGGAGGGAGAAGCGTAATTAACGCACTTAGCGGTAAAAGGGTAAGAAACTAGGCCCATACACTTTTCCCCAGTTTGATGACAAACTCGTGCCGATGCGGATGGCCCGAGCGAAGTGCCCATTCAGTTGGTGAATTTCTTTTTTAAAAATGTGGAATCATTTAGTATAATGCCATTTTTTGTGGACTATTAAAAAACAGGGTCAGTTGCGCAGAGGGCATAAAAATATAAGTTTGAATGTACATACTTAAAAAAGGCGAAATCAAACAAAAAAATTCATAACAAAATGGTAAAAGAAAGAAATAAATATGAAATAGTAGCCGTTTAACTTCCTAATGCGCAACAAAAGCACTCGATATAAAATGCATGTAGACGGCGCGTTATTTACGTAGGAACAACCTCCCCCCCCGCGCCGCTTTTTTTTTCGTGTGTGTTTAAAAATAAAAAGGTTCATTTGTAAATTCGGGGATAACTACCTCAGGGGGGAAAGGAGGAATGACGGTAATTGTACATACAAGAATGTACACAGATACGCCGCTAACCTCGTGCATGTAGCGTGAACATTTTAAAAAAATCGTTTCCTAAAGGAGGAACGTCCCGCGATATCACGTCGAATCAGGTAGCACCAGGCCCAATGGAACTTTTCATCACTCAGGAACTCCCCCTGCAAGTGGTCAAATGCTGTCCACATTTCTCGCTTCATACATGCGTAAGGTGCGTGGGGGGAAAATAAAAAAATAAAATAAAATGCGACACAATAAAAAACGAAAAAGTAAAATACGACAAAGTAAAATATGATAAAATGCAATAAAGTAAACGCACGTGTGACAAAAAACTAAAAACAAAAAAGCAACGCGGCAAGGTAACATGGGGAAAAAGGCAAAATCCGATTTGCAAGTGTCCGTATGTGCGATGCGAAATCTTCCCCAATGCAAGAAGGTACTTTCTTCTCGTTTCTTCAGTTCAGTTAGGTTAAAAGTTCCCCTTCTTCTGCTTCTTCTTCTGCTTATTCTTTTTTTCTTTTTTTTTTCTCCCATTATCATCGCCTCACAAATCGTTAGGAAACTTCATGTACTGCACGAGCATGTGCCCTATGAACTCATGCCCGTAGGCAACTGGGCAAAACCTCTCCTTATTTTTGTAGTCGTCCACTTGGTTAATCGTCGCGAAGGAAGTGTTCGTCTGCTGCACGTACGCAGCTCTCTTCCAGTACTCACTGGATGTAACCCAGGACACGTAAAATATGGAGTTCTTCAAAATGAACAAGACAATGTCTTCATACTGTGTGTTTTTTTTTTTGCTCTTCTTAATTTGTATATCATGTTCTAATGCTAAAATGGACTGTAAGTAGTAAGGTCTGGACATTTTGGTTAAATTTTCGGATACCTTTATAAAATGCTCATTTAGTAAATTGACATGGTTCTGTGGCTTGTAAAAATTTTGATAAATATAAATTAAATATTTACATGACTGCTCATTGTAGCAAGGAATATGTTTTCTAACTTTCCTATGGCAATTGCCTATCCTGGAGCCGAAGGTACATTCTTTAGGGAACATTTTATTCAACTCTTGGAAGGTTTTATCATGCATAAACGTACATTCATACATTTCCTCTAATTCCTTTTTGGAATATTTTCCATTCAGCGTAATTGTATTGTAATGTTCATCTGTGGCAACTTTTTTATTCTTCTTCATCAGGGGGTAATATTCTGAGCATCCTTTGTATTCCCAGCTATTGCAATCAAATTTTAAATTGTAAATAGTTTCTTTGACTTTCTTTGACATGAGGAGCAGAAATTTCAAGTCTGCCCCTGGGTAGCTAATCAAGTTGTACCTGTTCTTAAACCTACCAGATATAACAAGATTATTTTCTACGTTCATTCCAGAGGAGAGATATTCCAACTGCGCTATAAGTCTTGTTTGTCCATAAATTTCAAAATTGCTCTGTTCGTAATAAGTCTGTCCTTGTTCCAGGATGGAGGTATATCTTAGATACACGTTGGTGTGTATATCAAAGGCAGAATCGGCTAGCCAAATGATTTTAAAACCGTGTAGTGTACAGAACCCAACACCTGCGTGCACCAATAAAGTTGCAGATACTGGTAAATGTGTCTTTTTGTTTTCATCCCCGAGGTAACTAATGGCACATCTGTGCGGTTCTTGGTCTTCAAATTCGATGCCAATTAATCTCGTGTTTTCTTTTAAAGTATACAAATTGGGGTCAATTTCGTTTTTTTTTTTGTTCTGCTGGTGGTGCTTTTCTGCATATTCGTTATTGTATACCAGCTGTGGAACCAACTTGGCTTCGCATAAAACATCTGATAGCCACCTACCCGTGGTTCCACGAACTGGCCACTTTCCACCCCTCGTGCAGGAAAATTCAACGTCTATTTTTGAAAAAACATCTGGATCTTCTTTCGATTTTTTAATTAGCATCTCATAATGTTCCTCATCATATTTGTCGAACGTTTTTAACTTCTTCTTAATTTCATAATAATACTTGTAATAATTTTTAATCTTTGTTGGAACGTCCTTTACTGTAAAGGAAATATCCTTTTCGAATATTTTGCTTCTAAAAAAATGGTGTCTCATTTCTCCATCTAGTTCGCTGAATCCTGGGTGAATGTCATGTATGTCTTGTAGCTCTTTCAGGGTGTATTCCGTTTTTAGCGGATACACATCTCCCATGGAGCTGGAGACCTTGTGCTTCTCAATGTCTAAGGGCTCTTCGTCCTTATCGGAAAACATCTCGCCCTCTTCATCTTCTTCCCCTCCATGGTAGAGGCTGTCAAACAGATTATGGTTCTTATTGAACAGATGGTTGTTTTGGAACAGGTCCATGAAGCTGTTGCTTTCTTTGTCGTCTCCCAAGAAGTCGTCAAACATGTTAAAGGTGTTCACGTGCTCTTCCTCTCCCTTTCCTTCTCCGCTCCCTCCGCCTTCCCCTCTGTCGCCTCCCTCGCCGTGTTCGTCATGTTGGCTGTGTTCATCATGTTCGCCATGTTCTCCGTGTTCGTCACCGCCGCTATACCCATCTGTGTTGTCGTATCCTTCGTCGCCCCCGTCGTGCCTGTCGCCCCCATTGTTTTCGTCCCCACCGCCGTCGTGCCCATGCCCATTATCATGACCATGTCCACCTCCAGAGGTGCCCTTCTTGCCCCCCGAATGGGAGAGGACCCGCTTGTTGTTGTTACTGAAAAAGTCGGCAATGTACCTGTTCACGTGGACGTACTTCTTCCCGTTGGCCTCAATGAACGAGGAAATTTTGCACACATTGTCCTCCTCCATTTGGCTCTTCAGAATGAAGAAGCCGTAGCTGCTCAGGTCGAGCGTCTGGAAGGTGTAATTGTAGAATTCGAATTCGACTGCTTCATCTGATGGCTTTAAGATAGCTTCTTCATCCTCCAAATTTATTTCCTTCTTCCACTTACCGCTATGAATATAATCGTAGTCAAAGTTCGTGTAGTACGACTTGGCCAGTTGATCGTACGTTTCTGGCGATGCAGACTCGTCCGTCTTGTCAGCACCCTTGTTGACATTAGAACCCGCGATGTTAGTACTCTTGGTCTTCTTATAATTCACTAAAAACGCATTTGAAAAATAGTTCATAAGGATTTCCCACACCTGTTCATCATTGATCATTTTCCCTAAGTCTACCGTATTGCAATTAAAAATACAGGCCGCATTGTAGTATATAAAATTGACCATAAAGTTTTTGAAGTACAAATCGTATATTCCATCAAGGAAAATAATCTTCTCGACACATTTGTGAATGGATGGAATATTCTTACATATGCCATTAATAATGTACACAAAAATTTTCGGATTATTTTGCATCACATCTCTTTTATTCTCTGGAATATATCGTAGAAAATATTTTATACTACCTCCATAGTACTTGGATGTGTACTTACTATAACACTGAACAATCCTTTCGATATATTTATTGTTGTCTAGCAGGTTATACAATTCAGTAAATTTTTTCCTGTACAGAGTGTTGTCCTTGTTGAGTCCTGCCCACGTTACGTACGAGTTATGTTTGCTTATCGACAGGGCGGATGGAGACATATACGAACCGAGGATGTGATCTATATCGGCTATCTTAATATTATACACAAAATATTCATAATTTGTGTAAAACATGGTACTATTTTGTATATTAAAATGGAGCGAATTTAAACTGTAGGGTATTTCATTAAATATAGGAGTAGTTAGTGGGTGGATATTATCCGTTATGATAAAATGATTGTGGAACCCCAGCTTTGTACATAACCCTACTAACGCTTTGAATAACTCAAAGTCAGGCTTATTCATAATGGTATGGACACTGGAATGTATTCTACATACGGAATCGTCTATTATCCTTTTGGTGAGAGCCAATCCGTCTATGTTTTTCAAATTTAAAACTTCCTCTACATGGTTCGACTGCTTTAACAATTCTTGCGAAACGGATAAATCAAAAGCTATGTGGTAAGAATCTAGGTAATTGTTCAAAACGTTATGTCGTACACATTTTATAACCTCTTTGTTGTTACTATACAAGAAATGGGCGCAGAAAAATTCCATATTAACCACATCATTGCGTACTTCTAATCCGCTCACCGTTACATGGGGCACTTTGTGTGTTTTGCTGCAGATGTTGTTAAATACTTGTTTATCCAAAATGGACGTTTCTTCTGTGCATAAGGATTTCAATTTTAATTGCCAGAAGGATTTGAGCGAGTTTAAACTCTCCAAATTGGTGCAGTAGTCTGTGTTTCCTTCGTGCTCTTCTATGTGCTTCCCATTGTATTTGTCATATATATTTGATAACAACTTGACACTGAAATTAAAGTCACACTCGTTCTGTAGGGCGTGTATCCTCTGTAGCCAGCAAGTAAGGCTAAAAATCGCTAGCCGCGCTAGCAACTTGACGGACATCATTTTGTTTGCGCCGCGGGGTGTGTGGCTGCTTTAGCGGGGGGGATCCTTTTGGGAGCCAATTATTGCGCTTATTCTGCGATCGGCTTTGTGATCACTTTTGGCTAATTGTTGCGCCAGCTATTGCGCTTATTTTGCCTTCCTGTTGCTCTTCTCTTTAAACAAGGTTGTCAATTTTCCCTACTTAATCACATCTGGAGCGGCGGAGGGGGTGGGAAAACCTTCGCAGTACCAAGCGCGTGGGCAACTGCTTCCTCTTCGGTTTTTAAGAACGACACAAGATGTTAAAAAAAATATGAGAAAAACATTTTCTATCTTGGTCCTACTCGCAGTTGCGAGTACAAATATGTATGCGTATTATTGTTCTAACGTGGTGAGGCTGGTACATAGATGTACAAGAAAGCGTATACATGTGAGTATGCATATATATATATGCATATTGTATATATTTACTTGTACGCGTTTATGCTTAGCCCCTGAGCTAGGTTCTACCTCCTAACGCTGCAGAGCCATCGCTTTGTTAACAACAGGGCGTCATAACTTAAGTCAGAACGCCACTACGTCGCAATGTCACTATACCGTCGTAACATAGCATGATTACGCAAAAAGGAAATTTGAATTCAAAAAAGGGAATAATTGCAGGGCTGAAAAAAAAAACTACGCACAAGTTTGTTAAAAAAAACAAAAAAAAAGGGAAAAAACAGGGAAGAAAATATAAAAAAAAAAACAAACTTTTCGTTCACGACTAAATTAACAAATAAATGCCTATTGCCTTTTAATTAAGCATGCAGATACAAGCATAAAAAAAAATACGTGAAAGGGAAAAACAAAATGAACACCGTTTTGTTTGTAATGCATCCATCTGCGTTTCGTTAATCTTCGTCAAGGGGGGCACGACGGGCAATAGTTAGCAAACTGGTGAATTGTGTTAATTTTGGGGAACAAAGCGGCATTCGCACCCAAATTAGTGTATGTGCTAGAATGAGCGAGAATGACGTGAACCTAACCCAAAGAAAGTTGGGCGTTCTTCGCATACGTCGGAATAAATTTATTCGCATGAGAGCACTAATTTATTGGCTTAAAAATACGATTTCTGTTTTTGCATTGCAATACATTACAGGTGCAATATTTTGTATGTGCCCAAGTTAATTCTTACGTGGCTTCAAGCCTGCCGTGCAACCTGAGGCACGGGAAGTGTTATTTTAGCTTTCATTCACTGCGTTTCTTCGCGGCGTTTCGCTTGTCCCATTATGTTCCTTTTTTTCTTCTTTTAAAAGAACGTGCATATGGGAAATTATTTCGTTAATTCCTCGATTCTTAAGAGGGGGCGAAATGTGCACATCGCTTGCCCATGTTCATACGTGTGTAGGTAAAAAATCAAGACCTTCACGGGTTTATTCGAATTGGTTTTAATTGGTTTGCCTTTTTTAGGACGCTTCTCATGTAAAATGCTGAAAAGTACGCACTGGAATGAATACCTCAAGTAAAGGGTGAATAAAAAAAAAAAAGAAAAGAAACTATTGTTCTGCGTCAAACGGGTAAACAAAGGACTGAGCTGCTCGACGTGCTTTTCACACAAGCATAAATGAAGGAGGAAAATTTTGGAAACAAAATGAGATAATATAACATAGTATGAAATAGCTTAAGACATGTGTGGTGTAACAGGTGAAAGAGAAGCCGATCGTTAACCCCCCCCTGCCGCATACAATTTCAACGTGTGTACATTTATACTTTGATGTTCATTTTAGTGACCTTCACAAAACATAGATGATAAAAAAATATATATATATAATAGGAAAAGAAAAAAGAACTATATTTTAATGCAAATCCCTTTTTTTTTTTTTTTTTTTTTTTTTTTTTCATCCTTTTTGTGCTGCCCTTTGCATATGACTTACAAAATGGAATAAAACAAACCACAGATCGATGATCGTAGGCCTATTTTGTGTGTATTCCCTGGAAGGATTAAACAGAAAAATAGGAAGAAACAAAAATATCAGTTTTTCAAAAAAGGTATACATTCAATATTATGCACACAGTTTTTACTAATTTCTGTAATAATTTGTTTTCCTTTTTTTTTTTTTTTATCGTGAAACATTTTACGTAGTTCCTATTCCATGACGTAATTTTTTGCGAAAAAGGGGTAAGGAAGAAATGCAGAATGGGTTTCATTTTGGGGAGGGTCTTACAAAAAGGCTATTTTGGTAAAATGGCAGATGGAGGGTAAGCGCAATTCTGTTTGGGTTTTCCACGCATGAAAATTCGCTTTCTTCTCTGCTTTTTTTCAACGCGTATGCCTTTCGTTGGTTAAAAATTCACTCAAAATGAGGAGCGAATTTTGTTTCAATTTGGTGTTATAATCGCGAGGAAAATTTCCTATAACGACTACAGATAGCGCATACCTCCGCCGACAAGAAAGAAGCATTTTTTGCACATCCGTATTGTACCCACTTTCTGTGATGATGAGCTCATCTAAATGTGGTGGGAAGACAGGGACCTTAGGCTAACATTGCGCATTTGTGAAAGTAGCGAGTGCTGCATATGTGTAGTTGTTCTGGCGCAACAGCTGGTGACTCCCCTCTGCACAAGAGTTTTGGGCTAATCTAGGCATTTTCTAAAAAAGGCACTTTAAACGGGAAATGCGTTTTCCCATTTTTTTCTCTCCAATTGACAGATTGGCAGTGTAACAATTTGCTACACTACCAAGTTTATCATTTCAAGAGGCAAATGTGGCAATGTGGGAAAATGGCGTTGGGGAGGAGATTATCCATAGTCCTTTTTTTACCTATGCCATAGTTTGTACCACTGCCGCAAATGCGCACTCGTGTGTGTGCATGTATAGATGGGCGTTTCTACAAGGAGGACAATTCCATCAATCGTAGAGATTTCAAGCGCAAAGGGTTCGCCTTCACAGTTGGGAAAGATCAAAAGGGTGATACGTACGTAGCCATAATGTGGTAATTTTTTCTCATAGAAAAAATGTGTTGACGAGAATGGACAACGCAAAGAAGGTACTCACAAGTGTTCAAATGATGCCAAAAAAAAAAAAAAAAACAATTAAAAAAATTTCAAAATTTAGAAAAATTAAAAATAATAGAATAAAAAAAAAAATTTCAAAATTTGAAGCATACATACGGCATAAACCATTTTGTGAAGACGAACTACACGAGGGAAAATGCAAAATGTCCAGTCTATATTAAAGTGCTTAGTCGGTGGACAAGAAAAAAGGAAGTAGCATTTTTGTTCGTTCTTTAACGTGTGGTATATAATGCCAATAAAGCAGAATTAAGACGTTGTAGTTTTTTTTTTTTTTTCTTCTTCTTCTTCTTCTGCTGTTGCTGCCGATTTGTCTGTGCTTCTCCTCCTAACATGAAGGACAAAACCCTTTTCATCTCATTCCTGTCAATTTGTTTCCTGAAATATCTGCTTTGTAGCTCAATACAAATTTATGAATTTAACAAAAGGGAGTTGCTAAAAATTTATGAGGAGTCCACAGGGGATGACTTAGCTTTAGGAAAAAATACTCTGGACGCGGAACACGTATTTCACAAATTGAAGCTACTTTCCTTATGCAATAGCAACAGAAATAATTTTGTTAAGCATATTTCCAACTTGGTTTGTAAAAATATTTTCCTTTCATCTCATGTAAGAATAAAAGAGGTCGATGTCCTCTATGGGGACATGGTTCACTCGAAGGGATCCAAACACGTGGAGGAAATAAACTTCGTCTGTAAATATTACATATATGACAATTCATACGAAATTATAAAATGCAATGATGGTAAGGATGTGCTACATCCTCTCTACGTAGGCTTCGACATAGAGAGGAGGAGAAGTGATGAAGAAAAAGGAGCAAGCAATCATGGCGACTTTATGAAATCAAACCATTTGATAACTTCCGAAAAGACGCTCTCTGTGGGTAGTGCGGAAGAAGCTGATGCATCCACAGAGAAGAACACAAACGGCGTGATAACCTCCAGTGTAGGGACCCACCATGGGGACTATTTATGCAAATTAAAATTGAATATCCATTCTTACTTAACCGAGGGGGAAAAGATTATGCTAAAAATTTTAATCGGCTTGTGCATCAAATTGGGATACAAAAAGCAGATCTTGTTCACAGAAAATGTGTACTCCTTGGTTAAACATTACGAACAGAACCAACTTAAGGACACCCTTTTTAGTCTTCAGTTTGATGTTCATTATAGCAAATTTTACTCCCCTAATGATGTGTACACTATAAAAAGTGAAAATTCGTTTATTAATGATGAGAGGATGATGGACCAAGAAAGGGGCATGCCAAAAATGCACTTCAAATTTTTTGCTAACAAATCGTATTTGCTGTGGAGAGGGATAGAACAAAAAAGGGAAGTTTTTAATTATAAATTACGCGAGTTGATAAGCCTACTAAATCGGATCAACTACAAAGCAAGGATTAAAGAATGCTACATGAACGAGTTATATGTTCAATACCAGGAGGATGAACTGTATGTGAGGAAGAGCCTCTCTAGTAAGCTAACCAAACAATCAGCTGAAAAAACGAAACATCAAAACCATCTGAGATTGCAGGAGGAGAACAAATCAGGAAATTATAGCTTAGTGGAAGCACTAGAACACTTCTGCGGAGAGGACGCTCCATCTTTTGAAGACTGCGTCAGCAATGTGATGTCATCCTCCACACTGGACGAGAAGGGGAAAAGTATTATGCACCACTTCTTATATAGCAACTTTTTATGCGTTGAAAAGTGCCCCCCAAATGAAGAAGAAATAAACGTATTTGGACATGACATGGTGAGAAAAAAATTACAGGAGTATATCAGTCAAAGCAGCTCCTTACCATTTAGGATGAATACTCCTTACGAAAAGATAAAAGACAAAATTAAGAAAAAAAAGATACCTAGTGACGTTCTTCTCCCTCGGGATGAAAACATACAAAGGGAGTTCTTCGAAAATGTCATGTTCTCCACCGATTTTGACTCCATAAAATCCTTATTAAAGGATGAATT